GCTTCCAATACAATTTTCCGAAAGATGGTTTTGGTAATTTAAGGTAGTTGTTATCACGCTGATATATGTTAAATTGTTAGTTTTTGTGACAAGTTTGATTTTAGCTAGTAATTTGATGCTATAAAAACGGGGCGTGTCGTTACGGTTGATTGGGTCTGCGGGAGTTTGATACCGCGGCTCCACCTCACGACACTACTCACGACTCTGGCTCCAAACGAATCTCTACTGCGCAGACTCTGGCTCCAAATGACAATTTACTCAAGATGGCAGCGGCCATACTGAGATGCTTTGTCTGCACTTTTCTATAGGGGAAGGAATAGGAGACGCGTCGTCCATCTTTTTTTTTTACAGTCTATGAAGATAACCCAGGATTCCATTCACCTGGGGTTTAGAACGACCCAGGATTAACTATTTCAAGTGTGAAAAGCCCTAAAGTGTGGTAATATCAATTCACACCTCTGTTGCTTCAACCTCAATAGTTTCTGTGTATTCTTGAGCGGTTCCCTCTGTGAAAAGACAAGAACAGCGATGTGAGCTGGCAGCTGTGCGAGGAAGCATCTCTTTGCTCTGAAATTTGATGGCTTTGTTTTTACCTGGCTCAGCGGGGCGTTCCTCGCTCTCTGAAGACTCCGCTGCTGCGGCCTCCGTCTCCTCTTCACACACTCCATTCTGATGTGTTTGAGCACGATCAAAGTACCCACTTAGCAGCATCTTGTCCAAGCTTTCCTTAAGGGCTTTGTCTGTTCAAGACACAAAAAACAGGTTAACATAAAAAGTTTAGCAAGGCCCAGTTAGTCTGCTGGCAGATGTAAACTACATAATTTGGACTCAAGGCATTTTTCTTCACTGCAGGTAACTTCAATTTAGCCCACAAAAACTACAACAATATCAGTAAACAAGGTCTCATAGGCCGAGTCCGCAAAATTTGATACTATCATGATTCCCACCCTCTCTGTAAGACTACGCAGGCAGGCCCTGTCCATCATTAAATCCTCCAGCAGAGAGGCTTTGTGCAGACCACTGGCTGCCTGCCCAGCTGCTGACATGGGTCACAAGTCAGCACGAAGCATTGCTGACCCTCATGGGGCTGAGACAGAGCACAGCTTGCAAAAGCCATGGCAAGTGCCACCATTCATAGAGAGGCCAAGCGAGGGATGGCCCCATTGGTATTCAGACTCACTGGAAATCAAATATTGGTTTGATTATACAGTCGGCATTGCTCAAAACCATTCTGACAATTGTAAATGCAATTTTAAAAAATTAATCTGATAACAATGACGACAAGCAGTGACTCGAACAAACAAAAGAATCTTACAAACTGCACAAAATAATGTTCTTTTTTGCAACATCATATGACCCCTTTAACTTTCATGAAACAACCTCAAACTCACTCTTGCGTTACCAAGAATCAGATTCACTCAAGCTATGAATAGTTCAAGAGGCCAAGTTCACAACCGACTCCCTCACAGAATTTTGAAACATTTTTGGATTATGTTCAAAATAAAGCAGAGACCTTTAATGTCATGCAAGTCCCACAAGCCTAAAATGTACATCACTTAATTGATAATGTTAAAAATGTACATGACTCAAGTGACAGTTTAAAAAAAACACAAACACATTTACAATAGAGCTTTGTTTAATAATAATAATGGTATTCTTTAATAAATAAATAGCACTCTTAAAAAAAAATAATCCACATAAAAAAGCCTATTTATTTTTATTTATTCATTCCTATATGTACAGTGGTGTGAAAAAGTGTTGGCCCCCTTCCTGATTTCTTATTTTTTTGCATGTTTGTCACACTTTAATGTTTCAGAACATCAAACAAATTTAAATATTAGTCAAAGATAACACAAGTGAACACAACATGCAGTTTTTAAATGAAGGTTTTTATTATTAAGGGAAAACAAAATCCAAAACTACATGGCCTGTGTGAAAAAGTGTAATGGCTTTATAACCTTTTCCAGACTGATAGATCTCAATTACTTTCTTTCTCGTACATTTCTGAATTTCTTTGGATCTCGGCATGATGTCTAGCTTTTGAGGATCTTTTGGTCTACTTCACTTTGTCAGGCACGTCCTATTTAAGACATTTCTTGATTGCGAACAGGTGTTTGCAGTAATCAGGCCTGGGTGTGGCTAGAGAAATTGAACTCAGGTGTGATAAACCACAGTTTTAACAGGGGGGCAAACACTTCTTCACACAGGGCCATGTAGTTTTGGATTTTGTTTTCCCTTAATAATAAAAACCTTCATTTAAAAACTGCATGTTGTGTTTACTTGTGTTATCTTTTACTAATATTTAAATTTGTTTGATGATCTGAAACATTAAAGTGTGACAAACATGCAAAAAAATAAGAAATCAGGAAGGGGGCCAACACTTTTTCACACCACTGTATATATAAACCATTACAGTTTAAAAAGTAAATATTTCAGGTCCAATTGTAAGGCTAAATTGACTGTAAATTCGGGGGAAAAAAAACATTGCTTACATGTGGTTCCAGCCACAGCTTTATCCCTTCCTTCCAAAAGCTCCCACAAATGCATGGATGCTTCCTCAAACTGCTCAGCCAACCTGGAATCAAAAGGCATTTTGATAAAGATATTAAAACATGCTAAATCTCCAACCTCAAATTAACTGTACAGGATAAATGAACCATCCTCACCTTACACTAGAGTCCCGCTCAGGCCCAATTAGCTTATAGAACTCATCCAGGCCTGTTAGCTCTGACTCTGTGAGTACGGGGGCATCCCCACTGGACTGAGTCAGGTCCTGCCTCACGCTTTCCTCCCCCAACTGCTCCAGCAGGTATTGCACCTCCAGCACTGCTTTCAGTCGCTTGCGCTCCACTTCCTCCCTCTTCAGCTGCTCCCGTCGTGCCGCCTTTTTCACTGTTTTCTGGATCTACAAGAAAACAATCAAAACATTTTTAATATAAACTCGGCAAACAAACCGAGGCAAGGTGCTGTCCCACAGCATTATCGCTTTGTGAGGACAGAAATATTGCATTGCATTATCGGTTTTAGGCTAGATAGTAGGAGTAAAACTGAATGTAGATGCTGAGATGAAACTTTGGCTGGGCGCCAAGTACAAAACAGGGTCATGTCAGGTAAACTTCAATCACAAACATACCTCCACATTTAAAGCCAGGAAGCTCTTCTGCAACTCACGGGCAAAGTCCAAGTTGTGAACCACCTCCGGAGCTTTAGATAAAGCCTCCTACACATATGAAACAAAGAACCATATGTATTTAATACATAAAGGAACAGAGCTGATATATGTGAGCACAAAGGACTATAATTGAATAGAGTATACTGCACATACCAGCTGATCCTGGTTGAGACGTTCTCCTTTGTTCTTCCTTGTCTGGTAGTCATCCAGCTTGCTCTTAACAGAGAGTTTTCTCATGTTAATGGTGAGGAGTAGAATGCAGATTAAAATGTAAATTCCACATAATTCATCAGATGCAAGCATCTTTATGTCAAGCCGACACAATTTATACCACTGAGCAGTCCATTTTCACACTATATTTCTGGTTGAGACTCATAGTAAAGTAAGACACACCAGTAATGTACTATTTTTTAGAAGCATTCATTAAACTTCACTAAAATAAAATAACAGAAACCCAATGCTTTAAGAATACAGTTAAAACTTACAAAACAAAAATAAATAAATCCATGTTCTAATTTTAACTGCATTACTGACATGTATAACGTGACACCATTTAAAAAGTATTAAGAAAAAAAAACAAAGATGATAGATATCCAAGTGAAATAGGATATTTAATGTTGAGAAAAAAATGGATGAGATGGGACTTGATCTTATCCATCGTTAACTGATTTGGTCATACAAAGTGGCCATTTCATGCTATAAATGGAGCCAGTTACTTTAGTTGATTGTGGTGATCAACTGACCTACAATAACCACTTTTATAAAGGCGTTTCAACAGACACAAATGACACTCAATGTCCATTAAATCAATCCTTATTTGCTGTTATCACCAAAATATTCATTGATTTGATGCTAATCTGCATTATATTACTGGATCAAGTACTGGCAAGATTTTTAGTGAAGCTTTGGTGAAATATAAAAACAAAACTTTTCTTCAGAATTACATGTACTGATAAACAGTGCACAATATTCCCAGGACTGGTGTATTAAGTAAGTAAATAGGGTCAAGCTTGATTGATTTCACATTAACAATGACTTACCTTTTTCTTTTCCATGTTGCGGACCTTCTTGTCAATTACACCAAGTACTTGCTTGAGGGCTTCAGATGGCGCAGCGGCCAAATCCGGACTGGTGGAGTGAACAGCATTGTCGCCAGTGGTCACTGATGGCATCTGTAAAGATAAAGCCAAAGAATATTTGTTATTTTGCTCAGATGACAAAAACAATTACAAAAATAATAATTACCTACATAATGCATGACAATCAATCACATTTAATCGAAGATATTTTCAATGATATACTATATACATAGGTCAAAAACAATCAGATTTAGTTTTTCTAAAACTAGTCAAAACCTAAACTTACTTTTACGGTCCAGAGAGCAAACAAAGGTCTATCAGTTATCCCAAATAAAGACTCCGAAACCCCCATCTGTCTGGGATGAACCTCAATTTTCCCAATCCATCAATTCTGATATAATCGAATTGCCACTCAGCCACAATAGATCAGAAACAGAACGACATTTCTGCAGCACATTTAGTGTAATTCGGCGTAATCTTAAAAGGCTTTTAAGTCTAACTAGCAGACTCAAATCTTTCTTCTTGGCCGGATGGTCAGACTGCTGGCCAGCAGCACATCCCTTGAGCTCTATTAGCTGCACGTATTAACACACAACAGAAGAACTGAGCAATCAGCCATCACATAACACACAGACGTAAACATAAACACAAAAGCGCTGTTAGAGAATCATACTTCACTCGCGTGCTATTAGATTCTCTAAGTTAGCGAACTGTGAGCGTTAGCCGCTAGCTTCAGCTGGTCATCGCTTTCATGGATGCAGAGCACTGATAATTCTTATGATGGTAGCGTCTTACCGTTACTTTCAAAGTCTTGAAAGATATATTTGTATGATACAGTTGGACTTCAGTGTTTTAGATGTTATTTTCTGTAAGTACAACAAACGCTCCCCAGCAACTCCAGCTGCTTCGCGAGTTTCGTCTTAACAATGCAGAAGCGCTGAAGGACCCTTATAGGTGTATGTGTTTGTGCCTGAACTCATCTCCAAAAGCAGGTACAATTTAGAAACAGATTTATAAATAAGTTGACTTTTGTTAAAATATTATATATATGTAAATATGCAATATATATGACGGAGTATCTATTTAAAAATGTCTAAAACCCAATAAATATCTGACAAAGTAGGCCTATATATATATATATATATATATATATATATATATACAAACTTATGTGTGTGTGTGTGTGTGTGTGTGTGTGTATACTATACTATATGTATACTTTGTCAGATATTTATTGGGTTTTATTACATGTTGACTGTGTGTTTATTGGGTTTTTTACATGTTGAGTGTGTGTGTGTATGGTACAATAAATGTATTAAAATATTTCACCTCAAAAGTTTGGCCTTGCTGCAAAACGATCTGTGTTATTAGGTTTCCTCCACTAGAGGCCAGACATAGACTGAAGCTGTGCAGTGATTCAGGCAAAAGCTCTGTGAACATTTCTCATTGATGGTTACAAGCTTCTATGACAAATAGCCAATTTGGTGTGTAAGTCATAGTGAAACACTTTCCACCAAGGCAATATCCTTCACATAGACACTAATATTAAATATATATTATTATAATTTTAATGTCTATGGATAACACAAAACATGTATTATTATGATATCTGTTCACAGATGATATAGTTCAGTGGCTTGAAATATTAGATAACTTTTTGAAAATCATGTCTTGCTTTATGTGCAGGGATACTCTCTTTCCTGATTCGGTATGTCTGATGGCCACAAGCTTAAGTTGCCCCGCCATTTAGTGTGCTATAGTCTCGCCGCAAAGTGGAGTGGTAAGAGAACCCTTTCTTCTGAGGAATAAGGAATTTATTTGCACTGACGGGAAAGGGGACTTTTTTTTGAGCCTGTAGAAAAATGACAACCAAGAGTGATGTAGCCACCCACAAACATGCAAGGCTGCACACATGCATGTGTCTCTCATGTATGGCCTCCTGAAATGAATCTTTTATGTGGATGTCTGTGTTCTCTGAATAATTATCTCTGCTTTATCGGTCAAAATCCCTGATCAGCCCCAATATTCGCACAGCTATGTCGGGCCGCACTTGTGTCTTCTTGCCCAAATATCTGGGTCTGGCACCATCAAGATTAATGATGTTTTATTGAAGAGCTAGTAAGCTTCTTTCTGTGTCCCACATGTTCTCCAAAAGTTTTTCAAGAGAGTCTGTTTCTGCATCTTTTCCATAAGAGTGCTTGTATTAAAAATGAACCCCACTGACTAGTCTCTAGATATCATATTGTCCTTGGTGAATCATGAATTGACACTGTGAGAGAACTATACTGTCCTACCAATGTAATGTCTATAATGCTATATAAATCACTCTCTATAGAGCTCAAAGCTCAAAGATGATCCCGTCAGGGGATTTGAACAGCTCTGTGTTTCTTCCATGATTCAGTAATTTATGTTTTTGTTATTCTTCAATATGGTCTGGTTTTGGCTCACCATTTCTTACGGTCTCATCTCTGAAGAAGACTGCATGAGATATGAAAAGCTGTGTGTGGGATTTACTGTCATTATTGACATCAACACATTATTTATGGTACGATCATGCACATAAAATCTATAGACAGACTCGATTGCAATTTTGGCAAATTGCAGCAAGGCATATATTTTTAGTGATTTAGGAAAAGTTAGTGCGAGTGGTGAAGAAAACTGTCTCTATCAGGAATTACATAGGTTTTAACATTAGTTAGTCCCAGACAACAAAAGCTTATATATAACCAAAACTTATAAGTTATCTAAAAACTATATTTTATATGGCATTTTCACATCATTTTAATATTTTACAGGTAGTAACATTCTAAGACAGGGGTGTTCAGCTTTTTATGGTGGATAGAGAGACAAATAACTTAGTAGAGTAAACATTTTGCATTATAATAATTATTGATATACTACCATTCAAAATGATGGGGTCAGTAATTTTTTTAAAGAAATTGCAAGGACTCATTAAATTGATCAAATGTGTCAGTAAAGACAATGCAAAAATCGATCTCAAACAAATGCTGTTCGTTTGAATTTTCTATTCATCAAAGACTCCTGAAAAAAACGTATCACAGTTTCCACAAAATATAAGGCAGCACAACTGTTTTCAACATTGATAATAAGAATAAGAAGAAATGTTCCTTGAGCGCCAAATAAGTAGGCCTATATTAGAATGATTTCTGAATGATCATGTAAGACTAGAGTCTGGGCTAATGGAGTAACAATTCAGCTTCCTAAATATTTTGCTGAATTGTAGTTTTTTTAAACTAATTTGTTTATATTGTATTTTTCACAGACATTAGTTTGAGATCAAACAGTGATTGGTGAACCACAGTGATAACAGATTGGCACTGTGGTCCATAGACACAAAACAACCAAGGATAATCTTCATTAGCCCTCCTTCTTTCACTCTGTTATCTCATTTTCACTAATACTAGCCGACGGGAGAGATATGCAGACTGGAAGACTGAAGAGGAGGATAATTGCATCCATGGATGCCGTCGCCACCATGTTATTTTATTTGCGTGTGAGGTCCCAGAGAGCATTTAAATCTGTCGTAGTCAGGAGTGGGAGAGATGGCAGCAAAAGACACAAACAAATGGTAAGCGTTTGGATTGTGAAAAGATCTCAACCACATGAAAGAGCTCGATTACTGGTCTCTCTGCACAGTTGATGAGCCCAGAAAAAAGTAAAGTGAAAGCTGGGGTGAAAAAAGCAAAGAGAAATGCAAAGTCGTTGAGGCCACTCCTAGCAAGCGTCTTGAAAGCAAGACTTGATGATGGCCCACAAATCTCCAGGCAGAGTAGTGACATATGGAGCTACAAACAGGCTGAAGCTGAGCCTGAGCCAGGAGCAGCATCTCAGACGCAGAGTTATGATGGCAATCAGCACTGTGTCCAAAAATGTTTTCTTCATGCTACACATGGGAGACGAGAAACAGAGAATGTCAGAGACATCGTAGCGAGTTCAAATATTCTAAGTTTGTTCATAAAATCATAAGCCTGTTCTCTGTTTTGATTACACTGAAGATCGTCAGTGTTGCCTACAATTGTGTCCACCTGTGATGATACTGTATTTCAGCGTATCCTTGAAAACACTGGCCTCAAATCTGAACACAAAACAAATGCACAAGCCGAACATGGATTTGCTTGAATACAATAATCACTGGAGTTCATCAGACTAATATGCAGCCATGTGAGAGCTGTTTTCATCTTGGCAACCTGAATGTAAACAGAGAACGTCTGGATTCAATGCCCGTTCCATTCACCCAGTATCCCCTTAACCATATCAAAGACAGACTTCTTGTAGTACCAGTCCCATTACAGCATCCATCCATTGGTGAGCTGTTGTTTACTGCATGTATATATATATACTCAAGACGTCAAGTTGCACACCTAGGTGTCAGAGAGAATGGTAAAATAATCTTAAACAGAAGATGGCGCTAATCTCTCAAAAGACATCTTTACCTAGGAGAATGTAAACATGAACAGCAGGGTAAAAATGACTATCATCATAGAAAGAAAATAAATGTAAAAACATACATACTGTATGATTGAACTGTCACTGGTGCATACAAGATACTGTACATTCATCAGTGCTTCATAACTGGGGCCCTCAAGGGGACCTACAAGTTTTAAACAAACTTTAAAATCAGCTAAAACAACTAAAAATCAAGATTTCTTAAACTAATTAACTCATAAACTTTTGGAATTCTACAGTTTAGTTATTTAAATTAATAATTGAATTATAATTAGTTTTGCAATTATTTGAATATTGTTGTGGACAGTAGGGGTTCTTGGAGTTAAAAAGGTTGAGGAACCACTGCATTATATTTATGCATTTAATAAACGCTTTTATCCCAAAGGAATTATTTTGCATTCAAGGTATGGCCTACATTGTATTAGTGTGTTCCTTGAAAATGAAACCTGTGACCTCTGTGTTGCTAGCACCAGCTGAGGTACCAGAAGAGATGAGAAAATAAACGGGTCAAGGGATGATGATTTTGCTTAACGGTGACTAGCAGAAATGTTGTAATGATGAGAAGCAGATAACAGAACACAACCTGTCTGTCATGACCCGGAAAACAGTAATAACTTCCTGCATATTAGTCAAATTTATTGACATCAGCATGGCTATGATTCAGCTTCAGGTAAAGACAGCTGTGCTGATATTTCAGACCAACAGCACATTATGAGAGTTTTAGTGCTTTTATAGTACAGTAAAATTATAAGTAAAAAAAATAAATAAATAAAAAGTTACTTTTATGTATTTGCCCTGCCAATAAAAACATTTCTAACATCCAAACAAAATCAAACCATGATCAGCCATTTCCAAGCATTGTTTCCGAAGGATCTGTGTCGAATTTGCTGAATTCAAATTGGTTGAGTAAATGATTCAATGACCCGCTCATTAAGAATCAGAACTGTGAATGAAATTACGTTTTATGACCCACTCAAAAATAATCAGTTGTCAGTCACCACCTTCTGGTGTAACAATGTAATATGTTCTGTGCACACTGACTGCCCACGTATTTCTGTTAAAATCTCAGTTCTAGCTTCTGGTATGGTATTCTTCCATAGTAAACTGTGGTAGTAGCAATCCCTTTCTGTCATATACTATAATGTTTTATAATATTGTATATTCTATACATTTTAAATATAGTAAATATAAAATGTTGTATATTATACTAAAACATAACTTCCAATGATATTTTATATTCCAATATTTCTGTGTCTTGCTGTTTGACACTTCCTTAAGATATAAATTTGTGCTTAATTTTCTCACAATTTCCAT